TGTGTGTATGTGTGAACTTTGTTTTTTTTGTTTTTTTTTTTGACTCATCGTTGCTGAAAGGCTTGAATTAACTCCTTAACATAATTATAACCGTGAACATAATTATTGGTAAAGTTCTTACTGTAGTTAGTTACTGTAGTGTTTATAAACGTTACGTGAGATCTGCTACCTTCATGTCTGTCACTGTGCTGTTTATCTGACGCAGCCGAGGTGGAGATTAAGGCACATTGACAGGCACATGGGAAAGGTGGGTGGGGAGAACTAGCATTGAAGGCACAGACAACAAAAACAGCTACATTGTGTTCAAAGCAGAAAATCTCATGTTTTAAAAAAGTATACTATAATAAATAATCTAATGGGTGTTTTAAACTGAAATTTTAGACACATTCTGGAGACACAAAAGACTCCTCTTAAATCTTGAAAAGGGGGTAAAATAGATGCCTTTTAAGGCATTTAAGCACATTTTGTTTGTTTTATGTCAGGCTTTTTTTTTTATTAAATCTGAATTCAGGTTTTTATCTGGCTTGAGGACTGTAGCTCTTAATTTTAAGTGTATCTTTTTCTTAGACCAGTGTTTTGTCTTTATTGATCATAAATCATTTGTGTTGTGTTTCTGTGATTTTTGTCTTAGAGTACATCTGATTTAACAGAGTAAGTTAAACATTCTTGTTAAATGTATCTTGTCTTTTGTTTTTTTTTGTCTTTGTTCTTCGATGGCTCCTGTTTCAGTCACAGTGTCAGTGGCGCCAGCCTCCAGGCAAAGAGATTTATCGCAAAAATAATATCTCTGTATATGAGGTTGATGGGAAGGACCATAAGGTGAGCCAAATTATGCAAGCTGTTAACCTTTATTACAACAGAAAAATCAGTTCATGACCTCAAAACCTAAAAAGTTTGAATTAAAGGGAAAATTTAACGTGATCTATTTCCACCCATATTCAAGTGTAATTATTGTCTTTCTCTGTGTAGATCTACTGTCAGAATCTGTGCCTCCTGGCAAAGCTGTTTCTGGATCACAAAACACTTTACTTTGATGTTGAACCATTCATCTTCTACATCCTCACTGAAGTCAACAAACAGGGAGCGCATATTGTGGGTTACTTCTCCAAGGTAAACTCTATCTTTTGTTTGTTTTTGACGTTGTATATTGTATTACTGTAGTGTGCCTAAATGAATAAGCTTTTATGATGTTTTCCCTGAACAGGAAAAAGAGTCTCCTGATGGGAACAATGTTGCTTGTATTCTCACCCTTCCTCCATATCAACGACGAGGATATGGAAAATTTCTAATTGCATTCAGTGAGTCTTAACACCGATTCACCAACTGTCTACATCTGATATAAGACCCTTTCTGGATAGATAACTTTTTCTTGTGTCATGATTTTTCTCAGGTTATGAGTTATCTAAGCTGGAAAGCACAGTGGGCTCTCCAGAGAAGCCTCTGTCAGACTTGGGAAAGTTGAGTTATAGGAGTTACTGGTCATGGGTACTACTAGAGATTTTGCGGGACTTCAGAGGGACACTTTCCATCAAAGATCTCAGGTACACATCCAGTCTGAATTTACAAGCACAAGGTCACATGTGCTCAAGTATAATTGGATACCTCATAGGTCTCAAACTCAATTCCTGGAGGACTGCAGATTTTCTCCAACCCTGGTCAAATAGAGCTGATTCAACTAATGAACGTGTTCATGACTCTTTTGAACACCTTCATTATTTGGATCAGCTGTTTGATAGGATTGGAGCAAAACTGTGCAGAGCATCGGCCCTCCAGAAACAGGGTATATGCGGAGCTAGTGTTTCTTACCATATTAATAAACTTTCCGTGAAAGGTTAATGTGACTTTTTTTTTCCATTTTATACGGTTCCTTTTACAGTATTGAAGTTGTAATGTAATTACAATACATTCAGTTAAATAGACTTTGACATTCATTTAGTTGCTCAGGTGTAAAACAAGACAAAAAGGCGTTTACTCACACGCGCCCATCCCATCAGAATCGACAAGCTAGCACAGAAGCTCCATTGAATATACTGGGGTAAAATAAATGTTCATGTTTTAAAGACATGGTGGGGAAATATGTAATTTAATGCAGTGCTTCTTGTACAATCTGAGCCTCACTTTATATCAGATATCGCTAATTTAAAAACAGAAACAGAGCTTAAACTGGACGATTTTGTAATGGCATACAGTTCACCGGAAGCGTTTAACCCAGGTTACTGACCAATTAAAAGTCCTTTAGCATACTTCCGCATATACACTATTAAGTTTGAGACCTATGAGGTATACCTAAACAATCAGGGCCTATAACGAATATTTCAGGAGTGAAATCAAACTGGACAATAAAGGGTCATGAATCTCTCAACTAATAATTTTACATCTGTTAAGACATCTGTTAGCTTTAATTGTAGAAAAAAAACATGGTAATTTTGAGCTTTGTCTCTTTAATTTCATCTTTTGGTCTTAATATTTACATCAAGTCAGCATCACTGGTGGTGATGTAGCATAGGGCTATGAGTGCTTTGAAGTGTTGTCTAATTTTTATTCATGACAATTTAATTTAATTTAATTTTTTTATTTTTAATTTAATTTAATGTTTCCATCCAAAGATGCGAATTAACTTTATGTGCAAAACTGGAATATCACATTAAAGACGTGCGAATAAAGCAGCGTTTCCATCCAACAAATCAAAGAGAACAAAATCGTCGCTCCCTGATAAACCGGCACCAAGTATCAACAGTAAAGAGAAACTGCATGAATCTTTTCTTTATTTAACCCTTTAACTCAGGGGTCACCAAACTTGTTCCTGAAGGGCCGGTGTCCTACAGATTTTCGCTCCAACTGTTATCAAACACACCTGAGCAAGCTAATTAAGGTCTTACTAAGTATACTTGAAACATCCAGGCAGGTGTGTTGAAGCAAGTTGGAGCTAAACCCTGCAGGGACACCGGCCCTCCAAGACCGAGATTGGTGACCCCTGATTTAACTACTTCACCAAGAAAAATAGCATTTCTTCTCCTAATGTCGCTAGTTAACTCACTCAGAAAAATCTAAAATATCTAAAATATAAATCCATCAACTCAATCTTTTATGTGCATTTTTAAAATGTGCATCAAAACAATTGGATGTAAATGTAGTTATTGACAGACGCTACTTTCAAACGCTTTACTGTCTGAAGATCAAGTGCATTAAAAAAAAAAAAGACGTACACTTTACCTGAAAGAGGGGGTTTCATGACTCTTTAATATATTTTCTACACTCCTTGTATTATATACATGCTTACACAGTTTTTACTTACATTTGGTGAGTGTTTATTTTAGACAATCATTATGCAATCGTTTAAAAAAAGTTGCTAATTTACTACCAAGGTTTTGTTAATGATTGCCAACTTATGCATAATGCGCCCACAGTCAGATGACGAGCATCACTCAGAGTGACATCATCAGCACACTACAGTCTCTGAACATGGTCAAGTACTGGAAAGGTCAGCATGTCATCTGTGTCACTCCCAAACTCGTAGAGGAACATCTGAAAAGTGCCCAGTATAAGAAACCTCCAATAACAGGTAACATCAGAAAAACAAATGCTGAACTGGGCAGCCTTCTTCTTTTTTCTCCAAAGTTTAATCGTTTAACTTTCTGTGCTTCTACAGTGGACACACATTGTTTGAAATGGGCACCTCCAAAACACAAGCAGGCCAAGTTCTCCAAAAAATGAGGAGTATGAACGGTAAAGAGGAGAGTACGACTGCCACTTCACCCCTGATGTTTTTCACACCTAAATGTCATGTAGAAATACTTTCTCCAAGAGGAAAATGTCTACGATTGTACATTCGCATTGTATTGAGTCTGTTATTTTTTTATAAATAAATGAATAGTAATATTCACATCATTGTTCATCATCTTTGTTTTATCATTGTGGTACTTTAGTTTATCTTTGTTTTGTAAAGGCCATTTCACACTGCACAGACCAATGGCAACAAACAAGTCTGTCAGATTTTGCTGGATCAGACTGTAATTATTTTCATTTGGTCAGCTGTTGGTCAGTTTATTTTCACCAATGGTGGAATGTCTGAGCAGTGTGATTATGATTTTCCAACAAACTGACGTAGAACTTTACATAAAATTACTATTTAGCCATAGGAAGTGTTAATTAATTACTGTGTTTATTGTGTGTGGCGATTGTGAACTATTTTTTCAGCGACATTCTACATCCAATGGGCCACTTGTTTGTTGGTGTTGGCATTTGTCTGAGCAATTTAAATTGGCCTCAGGGTAGTTTAATATTTAGACCAAACCTTCCATCTTGTCCATGTGACAATGTTAAAAAGAAAAAGTTGCAAGTCAAGAAACATTTTGCTGAATTATTCATTAGGCAGTACAGGATTACCTATTGCACATGCAGCACCTGTCTGGCTTTTAGCTGAAAGCTGATCCCTATATACACTAGTGAGAATATATACATAAGATTAAGAGGGTCAAATGGAAAAAGAATGGCCCTTCAGCTTAAGCAACAATAACTTGGTAACTAATACTGTGGAACTGAGAAGAACTAAGAGGGGTTTTAAGTATTTTAGAGCAATAGTTTTAATGCAAATATGACATTTAAAACATAGGTGCTTTAATAAAACAATGGTGAAAATGTTTGCTAGAAGTAAAATATAATTTTGTTTACTTTGTAATACCCCAATTCATTTGTGTTGAATCCGAGAGCCATATAACATGTTTATAACTTTTTAAACAGATTTATTGATTATTTAGTTATTAATGTATGGAGCTTAGTACTTAATAATTGTGTAAATTATTAATATCACTTAAAATCGAATATTGTTTGTGTTAATCCTACAAATAACCCGAGTCTATTCGATAAGAAGTGCAGCCGGAGTTTAGCTCTCCCCAGGTTTAGAATCTTTGTCCGGAGAACAACGGGCTCCTTATTTAGGAGGAGGAGATTGGGAGCGCGCGTCGTGATTGGACACTGCAACAGGTACAGGTACCCTCATACATTCTCTGCTTAATGAACATTTCTGTGCTTTAGCTCGGTGGTCAGTTCCTCTATTTTAATTATATCGCATTTCTCAATCAAAAACTTGGAAAGATAAGAAGATGTAGCTTTTTAAAGAAACATCATAAATCTGTTATCTTGGCGCAGTCGGTCTTCGGAGGTTTGGGTTCAAATGGTTTTCTAGTGCTTAAAAGTAAACGTAGCTCGCTGACATTTTTATTGTTCGAGTAGACCACGCGTGACCCGGAATATTCTTCTTGAATTATAGGATTTTTTTGACATTACACGTAATTTTTTTTGGACCGAGTTGTTTGCCACAGAGTCGATCGTTTTTGGTTGAACAACCAAGAACAATTAAAAGCTTCTTCTTTTAAACGTGAAGGCGATTATTAACCGATATTCAGCCGACTGAACACAATGACTGATTCTTGCCTACAGCTCTTCTTGATGGCAACAGGTAGCTCAATTGTATTGAGGCGCATTGATGATTTATATACAATTATAACTGTTTGATTCGTCACATTGTTAAAATTCCTAATTTGATTTTCCTTTTGTCTTAAAATCTACAGGATTGTCAACGTGTCTGGCACAAGGTAATTACTTTAATCTTATGGGTCAGTGACTGATTTGCGATGTTTATTTTTTTTAATCTTTAGACTAAAATGTTTAAGAATGAACTTAAGATCATTATTTCATTAAAATACTGCAACTAAAAATATATATGTTTATATATTTAAAGATAAACTGTAGACTATATGCGTTTTCTATGTTTTACGGGACCTATTATTTATTATTTACTGTCATTTTGTCTGTCACTTGACCACAAAATTGTTCTTGCATGACTTCTTTTCCACAGTTTATGATATTTCAAAACCAGTTCATCCACTGGTTTTTAAAATTTAAATAATGATTATTTATAAATATAAATACAAGTAAATAACACATTTACATTTGGCATACTTAAAATCTAAAATGATTTACATATACATTACATCAAATGTTTTATCAATATTTATAAGTTTTTTCTATGACATGCACATCACAGTAAAAAAGGGCATTAATGTTTGTTATATTAATATTAATGCATAGGGTTTAGGTAGAACATGGGTAGTGTATTAAAACATGACAAGTAATATTTGTAATATAGCCTTCAAGTGTATAGAAACTAAATGAATTTTGTAAAAAGAATATATATATATATATATATATATATATATATATATATATATATATATATATATATATATATATATATATATATATATATATAATTTTATTTAAATAAAGTAAAATGAGTGTTCATCAATTAAACTTGAATATCAGTGAAAAGGAGAATGATGAACCTTATAAATATCCTCCTCTTTTGTAACCTTACCCACAACACTTTCCCGTACGCCTCATTTTTCCTTCTCCTGTTTGTGTAGCCTCTTATTAGTACAGTGAGAAGATGTAATAATACTCCAGGGAAGTTATAGGGTAGGTGTGATCATGTAAGAAAATCCCTACAGTTTATTTGCACTAAATCTCCTCTGACCTGCTGATGTAAGTGTGCGGCAGGCCTCCGCTAGGGAAACGCATTGTTGGAGGAGTTGAAGCATCACCAGGATCGTGGCCTTGGCAAGTGGATATTCAGATGGGATCCAATGGACATGTTTGTGGTGGATCTATCATTGCTAAAAATTGGGTCCTATCTGCTGCGCACTGCTTTCCTAAGTAAGTTTCATCTAGTGGTGAAGTCACTTTTTTATCAAAATATTTTTTGTTCAAGGAAACTTTTAAATTTTACTTCTACATTTTAAATCAAACTTTTTTTTTAATTGTTCTCACACAAATCTCATTTGTACTCAGAATTAGTTTTGATTTGGTCAGAAGTCAAATGATCTGGTCAAAGTGAGTCTTCCTGATGTTGAGGACCAGATACAAGTTTTTTAATACTTGGAGAAAATCCTCCAACATGTTCTCTTTGTAAACACACTTTAACCATGAAGCATGTTTTACTAGATTTAGCTTTAGTTGGCTTTAATTCTGTGAGGAATCTATTTTATTTAGTTAATTGTAGATTTTTTTACACTGTTGTAAAACCAAAATCACTCAACAAAAAAAAAAGTTTGTGTTGGAACAACATTAAGGAATAAAGTTACCAAATTAGTTTTTTACCAATTTAAGTGTATTGAACGTAAAACAATTACGTTTTACTCCAACAAACATAAGAATTGTGTTGTTTAAGCTCAATTTAAATAAGTGAAGCAAATGTAATCATTTGAGTGTATATTATACAACTGCAGTACATAAAACATAGCCTTAGAGCCTGGCATGGCATTAAACGTAACCAAGCAAACTTCCTGATCCTGTAGCATAGGTGTATAGAGCTGCACAGCATTGTTCTTAAAATCTTTCTGTTAAAAGTTTTATTTTTGTATATTCATATTAGTCAGCAGACATTTAGTGTTTCCTCCTTTTTGATATGTACTTGTCTATAAATTTGTGTTTTGACCTGGATTATCTTTAGCCTACTTATTAGTAGTATTGTTATCATTGTTGATTCACAACATCGCGTTCTCTCAACGCAAATCGATTGAGTTAACTTCATTGTTTTTACAAATGTAAGTGGATTACCAATAAAGCAAAGAAGCTGTCCCAAAAAACCCTGGAGAATTGTGTTGATTCAGCTCGTTTTAAATAAGTAGTTTGAACAAGTGGCAGAAATCATTATTTGAGTGTATATTAAATAACTACAGAACACGTGTTCTTACTATAAACAAAGCTTTAGAAGCTAGTGTGTCGTTAAACACAAACAAACAAACATCCCGAAGCTGTAGCACAAAATAACTTAGTATAGATTTACAAAGCATTTTTCTTAAATTGTTTAAAAGATATCCTTTTTTATATTGCATGTTTATATTTGTGTGCACACATTCAGTGTTTATTACATTTTAATATGTGCTTGTCTATAGATTTGTATTTCAACCTGGATTATCCTTTATAAACTACTTATCAGTAGTGTTGTTATCAGTTTATGGCAAGTATGGGATAAAAACTTACAATTTCTTTGTAAAACAAATAAACATTAATAAGTATGTTCACTTTTAATACATAGAAGTACATAAACGCGTACGTTTTTGCTTTGGCTTTTAGTGCTTAATACTTTTACTAGAGTGATAATCTGTTCTTTTAATCAAGTGCTGGATTTGTGCTTCTTGTCCACTGTTATTACCATATTATTAATGCTTGTGTAGACTATATGCACACGTTAATGCTCTCTGTCTCCTATTCTCAGCCCCTCAGAGGTGTCTGCGTACACTCTGTACATGGGACGTCATCTGCTCAATGGCTATAACCAGTTTGAGAAGGTCAGTTACGTGCAGCGAGTGGTCATTCCTGAAGGATACACAGATCCTCAGGGTGGCAGAGATGTAGCGTTGGTGCAGCTGCGCGCTCCGGTCTCCTGGACAGACAGGATTCAGCCTGTGTGTCTGCCGTTTGCTGACTTCCAGTTCAACAGTGGGACCTTGTGCTACGTGACAGGCTGGGGACACAAACAGGAGGGTGGTGAGTGTATTGAGAAAGAGACTAACGAAAATGACTGGCTTTCTTACGAGTGTTGGCTGTATTTATTACTATTTTGTTTGTGTATAATATCATTTGTAAGTCACTCTGGATAAAAGCTTCTGCTGGGAAGTGAATCAAAAATTATTAATAATCAAATGACAATATTTAATAGCAGTGAGTAGTCAATGAGAGGGAATAAAATGAAAGTTGAATTGCAAGAGGGAAGTGGATGGCATATTTACTCAAGGTTTTATATACAATATATATATATATATATATATTTATATATATATATATATATACACATTTGTTTGTTTTTAAGAGTGACAACTTGTCACACTACTTTCAATATTCGGTCTGACAGTATGACTTCAAACAACATTAGCTCTATTTTATTGACTATGAACAACGTATTTTGATAGTCATTGGCTGTTATTATGATTTCCCTATTTAGAATTGTCAAAAAATGCTTTAATGAAACCATATTATTAAAGAGAAAGTCTGAATAAAACAATATAGTTACCGTGTCACAACCTGTCAGTTTAAAAAAATGTACGAAAGTGCGAACACAAAACAAACTTTAACTTAATTAAAAATAAGTAGTAGGATTAAAATCTAACTTTTATATTTGCAGTGGTTGTTGGATTTAGTATAATTCACCATAAATTACACTGAAAAGCAAAATTAAAGCACTAAAATAATAGCAATATTTAATTAAAAAAATCTAATGATCCTAATCTAAGTAGTTAATAACTATTTTTATGTTATGTTTATTATAAATAAAATTTTTGTAATGCTGATTCAAATGATTTTCTATTCTTCATTATTTATATAGGAGTGTTAAGATTGAAGGTGTGAATTTATCAACCGCAGTGTAAATTTTTACTTTCTTTTTACTTAAGAAAATAAATCAAATCCTAAAGGTATTAATTGCCAAGTTAAGTTTTAAAACATGAATTTGAACTTTTCTTATGGTCAAATGTTTGCCACAAAAAAACGATCAAAAATCAAAATATAAAGATATTTAAAACTGTATACAGTATTGCTCATAGTTCAAACAACTGCATCTGCTTATTTATTTTATTAACATTATTACTTTTTTAAGTGTATAAGAGTGTAAAACGCATAAATATAAATGTTTGCAGAGATCAGAAGAAAAAGTGACAAAGTAATACACACTAAATACTAAAAATATGATAAAGATTATTTTCCTCAAAATTACATCTTTTTGTTGATCTAAAAGTGTAAAAAAAAATTAAAGGTTAAGTTTCTATGCTGTTCATAATTGCTAAATAAAAATATTTTGTAAAGTGAGAAACAAAGTTTTCTTTTGTCTTTTATTATGCATTTTCAGTTTACAAATTCAAACAAACAATCTCCTGAAGAAAGTTTATCACAGTTATTATTCTTTCATGTTATGTTACTGTTTTGTACGTGGGCTAATGACATATTGGGTAATCTGTGTCTCTTTTCACACATTGTCTTTTGTTCAGTTTCCCTCACTGGAGCAGCAGCTCTACGGGAAGTAGAAGTGCCTATTATTGACCAATCGTCCTGCCAATTTATGTATCAGATTTTGTCGTCTGATTCATCAACGGTTGACATCCTATCAGACATGATCTGTGCTGGATATAAAGAGGGAGGCAAGGATTCCTGTCAGGTATGTGGCTAATCTAGCATTTCACACTGACTGTCTTACCATGTGAAAAACATCATGTCTGCCTTTCAGGGGGACTCCGGAGGGCCTCTGGTTTGTCCTGTTGGCAATGGGACATGGATTCAAGCAGGAGTTGTGAGTTTTGGACTTGGTTGTGCTCAGAAAAACCGACCAGGTATCTATTCCCGAGTGTCAAGCTTTGAAAAGCTCATCCGCACCACAGTTCCAGAAGCTTACTTTTTGGGCCATGCTTGTAGAAGCGAAAGTCAAACGCCTCTGGTTACAGTCCTGTCTTTAGCATTAGTGCTCATTTGGAGATAGTGGATTAGTTAAGCAGATGGAATTTACAAGTGACACAATCAAACTTTTGTTAAATGCCACCGGTTTTGTCCATGTGGCATTCATTATTATTTTTTATTTTCTGTTTGAATGAAGTCAGTGCAAAGCTTCAGATAATCTTGCACATTATTTTTAATTATGTGGTAATTTGCAATATGTTCTTATGAGGTGATCTAGTCTAGGCATGGGACGATAATCGTTTTCAAGGTATACTGCGGTTTGGAACAGTCAAGGTTTTAAAACCGCCAAAAATTTTTGCAGTACCGTTCCTAAGTTAACTGTAAGTTTTTTTCACATATTTGCTAATTTATTTATTTTTTTCTTTTAACAACAGTATCTCCGGCAGAAAATAAATCTAAAGATGCCATTTTAAATTGTAAATTTAAATTGTTTTTGAAAATAAAGAAGACAGCAGAAGTCAATGATTAATTTTAATGATTTATTCTGACATGTTTACTGCTACAAAATATATTAAAAGTTTCTCAAAATAAAATATATTGTGTTCAAAGGGGAAACAAGTTTTATTTATTTTTTTACCCAGACATTTAAAAAGAATATATTTTAGAGTAGTATTCACAATACTGTGACACCGTAATATTTTTATCCAAGGTAATCATATCGTCAGAATCTTCTAACGGCCCATGCCTAATCTAGTCATCTGATCATGGCTAAGCACAATCTAGTCCTTGCATTGTTATTGTGTTTGAGTTATTATTACTTAATGTAATTGCAATAATGTCATCAAAACCTCAGAACACTTTATGATGCCAACATCCTACTTCATAGGATAAATTCAGTATGGTTTTTTATTTCTGATTTTGTTTGATTGTAATGAAATTGTAATGTAATTGATTGACTGAATGAGGCATATTATTGCACACACTCCACTGCTTGCTTTCACTCATGCATTTAATATCAGTGTTGTAACATCTTAGATGATTGTAGAATTTATATTAGATTAGTATGCCATTTGTTTTCTCTGCATGTTTTAATGAAGATGGATTTGATTTATCAGTTCTTTTGTAAGTCAAAATGCATGTATTTAAATGTGGTTATAAATGCATTCAATCTCAGTGTTGTAAGCTCTTTTGTAGAATTTTATAGAATATAAAAGCTCTTTTGTAGAATTTGTATTAAAATGACATTTCAGTTTATTTGTTTCCACTTGTTTTTTTGGTTTTTTTTTATAAAGATGATTTTGGTTCGATCATTTCTTTAAAAAGCTACATATTTCAATTATGTCTTTAAATAGGTGAGTTAGCCGAATCTATAGTAAACATGTTTGATTACCATTTGCTTTTGAAATACAAAAATAAAAAAGAAGAACAAATCTTAAATAAAGAGTCTGGGTTTGGGAATGCCAAACAGTACATTGCAATATTGGTTAAATTCAGAGAGAGAGAAAGACTAAATAAGTAATAATGTTTCCTAAGTTAAGTTTAACAGACCAAGGACGTTTTCCTATAAAAGTTTTTATTCTGGAGAAAGTCTTATTTTTATAATTAAGGTTATCGGATTTACACACTAATACAATATAATACAATAATCTTCTAAAGACATGCAAAGAAAAATATCCACAAAAAACAATGAAGAGAAAAAAGGGGAAAAAGCTAAGATTACATATATATATATATATATATATATATATATATATATACACTACCTACTGCGCCACTGCTTCGCCTGTATATATATATATATATATATATATATATATATATATATATATATATATATATATATATAAAAGGCTAAAAACGTGGCTCATTGTTCAGATAATTGTACAGTTACAATATTCCTTTTAGTATGATAGGGCAAGGACTAGGTTCCAAATATAGAGTCCAAACTTTGAAAAAAATGTTCTGTTTTTTGTGTAAAACATGGGTAATAGGTTCCAGGGGTAATCTAATAAACTCAAAACTAAAAAAAAAAAACTCAAAAAGTATCTTGTGCCACCCTTTAAGTGATGGAGATTTATCACTAATCCAATTAAGTAAAATGTTTTTTTTTCTGGCAGCAAAAGTTAATATATTATACGATTAGTTATTAGCTGATGAAAAATGCATCCCTTAGGTAACCATATAATCAATGAAACACAAAATCCAGAAAAGAGCTTTTCCAAAAAGAAAACAAATGAATGAATTATCAGCCCCCTTTGAATTTTTATTTTTTTCCCTGAATAATGTTTAACAGAGCAAGATAATTTTCACAGGACGTCTGATAATATTTTTTCTTCTGGAGAAAGTTTTACTTGTTTTATTTCCGTTAGAATAAAAGCAGTTTTTAAAATATTTTTAATAAACATTTTAAGGTCAAAATTTTTAGCCCCTTTAAGCTATATTTTTTCAATGGTCTATAGAACAAACCATTGTTATACAACAACTTGCCTAATTACCCTAACCTACCCAATTAACCTAGTTAAGCCTTTAAATGTTACTTTATGCTGTATAGAAGTGTCTTGAAAAAGATCTAGTCAAATATGTTTTACTGTCATCATGGCAAAGATAAATCAGTTATTAGAAATTAGATATTAAAACTATTATGTTTAGAAATGTGTTGAAAAAAATCTGCTCTCCATTAAACTAAAATTGGGGACAAAATTAATAGAGGGGCAAATAATTCAGGGGGTTCTAATATATATAATGTCAATAAGTGACCCTCTTTATTTTTTTTATGTCTACAGAACACAGCACTGTTGTCCATTAAATTCTTGAACAAAAAATTATTACCACTTACTGCAGGGTTTGTTAAATAAATAACAAATTTAAAATTATTAGATGAATAGATAAAAAAACCCAAGGAATTCACAATGTAAACATCATTTATATAAAATATACATAAACAAAACTGTGATGATACACTCAATGTTTAGTTGCCTTTTGAATCGATGGTAAACATGAAGATACTCAGATTTTTTATTTTATTTTTATTATTATTAGAAATGATAGTAACAGATAAGGTTAAATAATATGAACACATATAAAAAATAAATAAAAAGAGGAACAAAGGAGAGAAAAAGTACAATAAAAAATTGAAAGAGATACATACATAACACAAATACAGCAAGAGGAAAGAAGGACTTATGTATCCGTGATATTTCCAAAATAATAATGAAGATACTCAGATATAGCTGAGTGTGACGTCACCGTTGCCGCCTACAGGCTCAACTCGACACTGCATCATCACCGTCATCGTCAGTCTTTCCGCACAGTTGCGCAGTTTACCGAAGGCGACTGTACGTATAACACCTCAGAAATTGTTATTCTGCATCATTTCTAAAAGGATTTTAAGCCCAAACATGGCGTCAAATGGTAAGATGTGGTCATGTAAACATTTCTGGTTTTATGATATTCGTTGATATTCATAAGGTTTAGCCGACACAGCATCTTCTGCGAAACACATCTATTTATATAACGTTAATCTTTGTCTTTCGCTTGCGCATACCGAGGACATGTGTTATGTGATGGATATGTTATACGGGCGAGGGCCTCATTTGGTGCATTCGTTATTTAATTTGTGAAAACACGAAAGGAAGAACATGTCGGCATCCGCCATTTTGTTTGCAGCTCTTTGGGTTTAGCTCGTTTGTTCTACTGACCTATATTTGAGCACGAGACCACGAAATTTGACTTATTTTAATGCAGTTTCAGCAAACTTGACGTAAAATGTTTTAGAGGGATAACGTTACATTATCTAAATACCCTGAATCCTGTAAAGTTCATATTAGCGACGCAACTAAAATGCAAAGATCCCAGCTCATTTATTATTTATTTAAGTTAGTTACTTTAAAGGAGCGGTAACGTTACGTCCAAAATTGATATTTTGTCGTCCTGTACATGCATTCATGTCTTTAAACCCAAATGTTCTGTGAAAAAGAGTATTCTGAAGAGTCCTGGTGAACCAGTGTCCAAACAGTAATGCTCACCATTTACATTCATTTATGGTATGGACGGAGCAGTAACGTTTTCCTAAATTTCTTCTTTGTGTTCCTCTATAGAAAGCAGTATTCAAACACATAACTTAATTCAATTTAAAACTATACTTAAATTTTACATGAGTTAAACAAAGTTAACGTACATTGAACGTTTCCAGAGGTCCAGATAAATGCAGCAGAAGGTACAACCATTCACTTATTATGGACATGCAGTAACGTTAACTACTGTATTTGTGCTCTCAAAGATATATAAAGGGGAGATTGTAATATGTTCAAAGGTCTCTTTACTGGCAAATTATGATTTATAACAAATAATAAGATAATTCTTTTTAACAACTTGGGAACCTATTGACCACCTGGAAATATGATGATTCATATCAAACCTTTTTATTGTAATTTATTTATTTATTCTCACAAGATTCCTCAATTGCTTTATTTATAAATGTTTCTGTTTGTCTCATAATTCTCTATGATCTTTCTTTTTCTGATATTAGTATAATTAACTTAAATGTTAAATTCACTGTTCTGTCTTATATGTCTGGGACCAGATAATACTATGGGGTTTGTTTTACATTTAAGTTGTAATATATGATGCCTCTATTCTTCATTTTGACTTCATTTAAATGAGCTAAATGCACACAGACTTTTAATTTCAGCCAGCCTCCGTGTTTCTGGTAAATTTCTTTTTGAAATTGGCTTGTTTAAGTTCTAATTTTTAACAAATCAGAGATTTTCACTGCCTGACAGATCCAACATATAAAGTTGGTCTCAGACTGCACAAGAAGCACTGCATTAATTTTCATTTTCCCTCGCCATGTCTTTAAAATATGTTAATTTTACCCCAGTATTTTAGTGAAGTTTCTGCTCTAGCATGCTGATCCTGATGAAGCTAGCAGTTATGCGGTCTTTCATCTTGTTTTATGCTTGATCAACTAAATGAATGCTTCGGTCTATTTCGCTGAATATATTTTTAATGACATTACAAAATCGATGCTGTGTAAGGAACCTTATGAAATTGAAAATAGTCACATTAACCTTTCACCGGATGTTTATCATTGGCCTGAAAAACACTAGCTGTGCATAGAGCCCATATATGCTTTATTAGAAACCTTAATTTATTAAACAAGAGTCTATGGTCAAACCTCAAGCCATTGGTAGGTTACAAATTTATCTATTTTCAGTCTGTTAAATTATTATTCAATAAAACCCATTTAGAGGCTCCATGTCGTGCCTGCACCTCAGGTGTTATATCACCACCGGAAGTTTATCATTGGCTGAAAAACACTAGCTGTGTTAAATATGAGAGAAAGTAGTAATATAAAATGACATATTTTGTCTTTTCTCTTTAGATTATGGCCAAACCTCAAGCCATGGGTAAGTTCTAAATTTCTAAATATCTATCCATTTATCCCTCCGTCCACCCATCAACCCATTCTAGAGTGTCATCACAATGATGAATGAATTGTAATTTGCCCAGCTATGGGGGTTATGGAGGACAGTCCGGTCAAAGCTACAGCCAACCTTCTGCCCAGAACTACAGTCAGCAGAGCTATGGAGGATACAACCAAAGCTCAGAGAGCAGCTCCGCTCCTTATAATCAGGGAGGATACAGCTCCAACTATGGACAGTCCCAGTCAGGTATTAGTCATGAATATCTGCAATAGCTCAGAAAATCTGAACAGGTTCATTCAGTAATCTTACCTCATCCATTTTTAGGAGGATATGGATCTCAAGCCCCTTCTCAAGGCTACAGTCAGTCCAGTCAGTCGTATAGCTCTGGTGGCTACAGTAACACCAGCCAGCCTCCACCAGCTCAAAGCGGAGGCTACAGCCAGCAGTCCTCTTATTCTGGCTATAACCAGTCTTCTCCTGCATCTGCCCCTGGGTGAGAATTCAGCTTTAGGTGTCAGTCTGTGTCCAGTCTTATTATGTGAATGGTCAGTACATTTACAGGAGCAAAAGTGTTTGTATACTGTTGATATAATGGATTTAACAATACTCTGAATAAATTTGTTTTCCATGTAAACAGATTTCAGTCATACTCTAGCTGAACACAAATTTAATTAAGACTAAATGTTGAGTATTCTTACTGTAGACACATTATCAAAGAGCATTAAAGACCTGTACACACCTTAATTGCTATTCGGTAGGACTCTTCTACAGGATACTAGCGCAACGGTGGTCAACAGGTAAATGACAAACAAAAGAGCAAGACTTTGA